AATGAGGGCAGAATACTGCAGAAGACGGGGGAACCGAAGTGGAAATAGGCAGGTTTCTGCAGAGCAGCTCTCACACCCCTGTAACCGCGGTGATGGGCAGTCGGACCCAATCACAATTACAGCGTGCAACAGGCTCACAAGGTCCTCAGAACAGGGCTGTGGGGAGCAGAACGTGCCGCTGAAATACACGGCACGCAGGATTGAGCTGACTCAGCAGACGGTCACCGAACAGTTATCCCATCTGAAGGGCGTACAACCACATTTCCACTCCAGCGGCTTCTCCGCCTTGAAAGCAAACGCTCACAGAACAGCACGCGGAGCTGCACCTCCGTGACGTGGCGGCTGAAGGAGCCGTGAGCCTTTGGCAGCCACCGCGCAAACCGAGCAGCGCCGCTCACACACCTGACGCGACCCCGCCGCCGGGGCGCGCCGCCCACGGGCACGCAGGAAATGGCGGCAACGCGGCTCCCTCCTCCCCCGGTCGGGCGGGAGGCGGGCGGAGGCGAGGTGCGGCCCAGGTGCCCGCCGCTATATCAGGCGGGGCGGCGGGGCGGCGCGGCTGCCCCATGGCGGCGCCCGCCATGGCCGAGCCGCGCTCCAAGCGGCCCCGCGTCACGCTGCCCGCCTGCCCGGCGCACCGCCCGCTGCCCGGCAGCCGCGTGAGGCAGAGCTTCCCGGCCGCCGTGGAGGAGGGCCTGTGCGGGGTGACCGGCGCCCTGCTGGAGCTCGCCTACAGCCTGCAGGCGCTGGTAAGGCGGCGGGAGGGCCGGGGGTGGCTGAGGCCGGTGGTTGGTAGGGGCGCGGGTGGGTGCTGCTCAGTCAGGAACAGACGGTGGAGAAATTAAACTTGAAAACGTTAACATCCTAAAGTTCTTAAACGCGTATGTAAAATATTTACCTTAGCAGGCGTGGTAACTTTCCTTCCGTGGCTGCGAAATACGGAATCTCATGGCTTCTGTGAACGGCAAGGTGAAAGCGCAGGAAAAGGCGAGCAGGACAGTAAGAAAAACCTATGAAATCACAGAAGCACAGAATGGCTTAAGTTGGAGCCCACCCAGCCTCAACCCCCTGCCATGGGCAGGGCTGCTTTGTCAGGTCAGGCTGCTCAGGGCCCCATCCAGCTGGCCTTGTGTGCCTCCAGGGTTCGGGCACACTCCTAGGCTATAAGCATACAGCGGGGCTCCAGTCCACAGCCCATCCAAGAGGCAGAAGCTGTGCTGTGCTGCATATTAATGCTTAGGGAACTAGAAGATCACAACATTGTAACTCCCTCAGTTCCACTGAAGCCCCTCTCCTATGAAGAAAGGCTGAGGGAGTTGGGCTTATTCAGCTTGGAGAAGAGAAGCCTCTGGGGAGGCCTTGTTGCAGCCTTACAGTACCTGAAGGGAGCATACAAGCAGAGAGAGAGGACTGGCTTTTTACACAGTTTGATAGTGGTAGAACAAGGAGGTGCTGCTTTAAACTAGAAGAGGGGAAAATTAGGCTAGATGCTAGAAGAAACTTAGGAGGTAGTGAGGGCCTGGTACAGGCTGCCCAGAGTAGCCGCAGATGCCCCATTCCTGGAGGCATTCAAGGCCAGGTTGGATGGGGCCCTGGGCAGCCTGAACTGGTGAAGGCAGCCCTGCCTGTGGCAGGGGGTGTTGGAACTAGATGAAAATGCAAAATTGTGCTTGTTCTCTTTTGCATTTGCCTCATCTTAATAGTTTTGAAAGCTTATTTTTCACCTATGTTCTCTGTACTGGGACTATGCCTTAAAAATTATTTGTATTCAAGAAAGAATATCAGTACTGGAGACAAACAACAGTACTGTATCAGTACTACAGTTACCTCTCTAGAATTAAAAGCCAGAGGGATTTGTCATAGAAGTAAAAAGACTTTTAAGTAAAGAGACAAAACTTACTGTATTGTAGAAACATGGATGAAGGTCTTTGAAGTGACTGTGGGTAGATAAAATTCCATTGGAAAAGACTCCTGGATTCTAGCAAATCTTAATAATCTGTGTGGTGTGGGTTTTTTTTGTTTTGTTTTTTATTTTTATTTTTAGGGTGAATATTTTGATCAGTCACATGTGGCTCTACCAAATGTTTCGAAGTTCTTCCTGCATCAAGCTCTGGAAGAGAGAAAAGCTGCAGAGGCTTTGATGAAGTATCAGCAAGAAAGAGGAGGTCATTACTGTTCTAAAACCATCCAGGTATGTAGCAAGGAATGAGCTTTCAAGCATTTGCAATAAGCAGTAGTGACTCTGATTTCTTGCATTATATTGTTAGTACTTCAGATATCTGCATTCATCCCCTTAGCCAGGTATAATTTTCTAGGAGTTATAAAATCCTATAAGAAATGCTCCAGATTAGGAGTTTTAAATCCTAACGTGACTTCTTGATAGGAAGCTGCAGGAAAACAGTGAATATGGAAAGATGAGCTGTTCTTCTAAATAAATGTAATTCTGTCTTTGTTTCTAGAAACCAAATTGTGACTATGCTGTCGGTTTGATGAAAGCTCTGGAACTAGCTATGATGCAGTGGAAAACTCTGACACGATACTTTGAAGAGCTTTATGCCCTAAGCATTGAAAATGCAGACCCTCATAGTGCAAGCACTATCAAGAAACAGTTTATTGGGCCCAAAATCCAGAAGATCAAGATGATGGGAGATCTCCTGACCAATGCTCGCAGGCTTGATTGTTCCCAAGATGGCAGAAATAGTCTTGGGGATTACTTTATGGACCGGTTGCAGAAAGAGTTCAGAATAGGCATAGAGCCAGAGTCTAGTCAGCAGTGCAGCCCCTGTCCACCTCTCCAGCAGTGTGCAGGAGCTTCAGAGAGTCTGAAGCGACCACAGAAAGAATTCTCCCAGCACAGGAACAGCATAGGGCCAATATATGCAACCATACACTGCACTGCCACACTGCCACAGTGTAATAACGATGGGATGGGAGCAAAAATGAAACGGGAGGGAGGTACTTTAATGCTGTAGCTCTCATCACTGTGGTCCAGCTTTGAAGGTGGACCTTTACAGAGAAGAGTGGCCTGGAGACTAAAACTCGGGGGACACGATGCTTTATCACTTCCCCTTCTTTACGCCCTGAACCTCATCCTCATTTGAGCCACAGCTCAAAATCCAGCCCATTCCATTGTCTTGTTTAAGTGACAGCAAGGTTGCTAGTTACCAAAATTGATAGCATTCATTGCATTTTTATCTATGCAATTCTTCCTACAAACCAAAAGCTTCTAGGCCTCTCCTGTCTTAAACAATAGGGTGGGTTAGCTAATGCAAATTATGTTAGCAGTATATTCAACTTTTATTAAAAAAAAAAAAAAAACTTTAGAAAAAAGAAATGTCTATATGGGAGGAAGCTCAAAGGTTTAGTTTTATATTATCCGATTTTATATTAGAAATTTTATATTAGCATACTAACACAATGTAATGAACTTTTTAAAAGACTTGCTTTAAGACAAGGTTTTACTTGCTTATTTCTATCACAGTAGCAGTTAAAAATAAGTAGTCCAATTCATTTACTTACAACCCAGCTGTTTCTATAGTTGTATACTTCTCCAAGATGAAGGATGCAAACACTTCCTCCACAGCAGGAATAAGACCAATGCTCTTAGGCACATGGCTTAACTCTTACGTTGTCCTGTGTGGAGTTAGGAGTTGGACTTGATGATCCTCATGGGTCTTTACCAACCCTGGATATTCTGTGATTCTACATTCCTTCCATTCACCTCCTACAGGAGTGCCTCTCTTTCTCTATACTGGCTACCAAGGTCACCTAGGAAGAGCAGCTCACTAGATCAGCTGTTTGCAGCTAGGTTGTGAATTGTTTTTTTTTTTATATACCACATTTATATGCAATTGGGGTTTGCTTTCTTGAAAGATTCTTACTTTTATGTAATGTTGCAAACAATGTTCCTATAATGTTTGACAATAAATTCAGTTCCATATTAAATTCCACTTTGCATTTGCATTGTATTCCTCATTTTATATATTATAAGCATGACAGTACTTTCCAGGAGATTTTGCATACGTATATGAGATGACACCAATACTTAACTGTGATTGAGAAGGTTGCACGGATGAATTTAAAGATGAAAGCAATAGACCACAGAATGAAAATAAATGCTAGAAGACTGTATTAAGGTGACAAAAAAGCACAATGAAACACTTCTAGTAAATGCTTTGACTCCCTTATACAGCTGCAGTTAAGTACCCATTTCTGTAAAGCTGTGTAGATCACTTAATTTCTGTTAGTGTTGCAACACAAGACAGATGATTACAGCATTGATGCTTTCCTCATCTTTCTAGTACAATGACTCAACTTTTTTTTTTCTTCTAGTTGGGGAAATTACTTTAAAACATCTCCTGTATTCTCTAGTAAAAATACTGCAGTGTGCCACAAGAATGGTTTGAAATGTTTTTAGCAACATGCTGGATTCATCTGTTTGGGGTGGCTGCTCTCAGTAGTTCAACAGATATTTCCATCTGGGCTAGATTCCAACACCCACCCTCTTGCTGAGCATACCTTATTCAACAATTAGTTCCACTGACTGCAATTCAACATGAATAAGGGCAATGGAATCCGTCCTTCTCAGTATTAATACATAGCTCACTAAGTATGAATGGACCAAAACTGCTAGTTGAGTTATAAACTAGTGCTACGTGGCTAGTACAGGCAACATTTGATATACAGCAGTCTCCTTTAAGAGTTGTTAACCTACAATACAGGCATCAGTTTCAAGTACTGAAGATCTTAAATGAATTCCAACAGAACAAGGAGCCCAACACTTAAACTTTTCAATGTGAGACTTACTTGCTGCTGCTTCTTCCCTGAAATATTGCTGGATGCAGTTCTCAGAGACTCTTCTCATCTTTATCTTTGTAGCCAAATGTGCCAGTACTCTTTCAGATTTTAGGCCTTTCTCTCCCTCTCTCTTCTGAAATACCTTCCGGATTCTGCCTGAAGAGACAATTCTTTTCCAGGTAATCTCACAGTCAGCTGTTTTCCCAGTCTATCTTCTGAAAAAGAAAAAATCAGATACTGAGATAACCAAAGCTTTTCTTGTCCATGTGACACTTGTGCTGTGAGGCACGTGTACCTGTGATCTCTCTGTCAGCAGTACCCTGCTGTGTACAGGATGATCCTCTCCATGCTTCGCAGTGCAGGAAGTACAACCTGCCACTCTCTTCTCAGCTTCATTTCAACCATGCCCTGTGAAAATGAGATGAAGGATCAGTGTGAAACAGGTATAAAGTCAACAGCATTTAGAGCAGCTGTACAGATACTCTTCCTCTGCTGAATGCTTGGTCATACATGCACTCTGTATCTGTTCTTGCAAAGCAAAGCCCAAATAATCCAGGATAGCCACAGAAGCATCACTGCACTAAATATAGCATTCAAACATGAAGCTTTGAAGAGACCTATTCTTTACTTACAATTATGAGTTACAGCAACAGAGGCTTCCAAACAGGAATCAAAAATGGTGTATTTCCAAATGCTGCCATAAGAAATTCCTGTGGTTATAGGGGAAGGGAGCTTGCTGCTGTTTGCAATCAGAGTGGGAAATTCACTTCAAGTCTCTTGGTGGAGATCATGCCATATCCTTCCTCTTCTCCACTCCGGCCACACAACATTGACAAGAGCATCTTGGAATACTCTTCTTTGCTTGTTTCTGGCCCACAGCATCTTTTTGGACAAAGCTATCCTTGGGCAAAATACCAGAAAGATAATTGAACTTTTGGTGCCAGCAGCAGGGAACACATCCTTGCACAATCGTAGAGGCCAGAAGGGACCTCTGGAGATGATCTAGTCTAACCCCCCTGTTAAAGCAGGTTGAAGCTGCTCAAGGGCAGCTTCACTGCAAGACAATTCTGAGCAGAATTCACCAGCTGGTCATGGCTTTCTCCCGACTTTTCCACTTAGGTGAGCTCATGCACTTACGAGCATTCATAGGCAATTACTGGCAGTCTCTCAGAATTGCCTGTCCAAGTCTCACCATCTGTTACCACTCTGCCCAAATTAATCACTACGCGTGCCAGTCCTCAAATGCCTTTTCCTGGGGTCAGATACAACCTAGATGCACGCTCACAGTGGCAGATTATGCTGTAGCTTTAGGTAAATATTACCAAAATTAGCATTTCCACAAATTAAACCAATGACCCGAGGAAAGTTTCCGTGTTTTGAGTGGGTCAGCAAGGCCAGCACCAATGCTTGACAACCTATGCACAGCTGTTAAGCCATACAACTATTTCTCATTTATACTTGTTTTGTCTTATTGTATACAAAACATGGTTTTGAATACAAATTATTTTTACTTTAGCAGTTCTGTAAAGGTTAAAACAAACATTCTGTTCTCTCCTTCTGTATCAAAGAGCCTCTACAATAACAGTGGAGTGTTTTCATGAGCTTGCTGCTCTGCCTCAGAACAGCTGGGAGATACACTTCTGCATGTGTAGGGCTGATTAATAGCTGCTCTCCTTGGGGTGGATCGTTTTTCAGCACTGGATACAGTGAAAGAACAAACTTGTACAGAGTCCAAAACATCAACTTGAAAAAAAAAATTGATCTTTGGGGTAAGGACAGAATGTGACTAACAATTCTTATCTCTGTACTTCAAAACACATAAGTAGAAAATGAGGGCTGCAGATTATGAATTTTTGCAAAAATGGAATGACAGAACAACAGAAGAACCCACCATGGTGACAGCCCATCTGAGCTGCCACAGGCATGGGGACCACAGGCCTGACCGCCAACTGATGTCTGTCACCTTCTGAGATGCTCTCAGCTTTGCTGCAGGGGGAGCTTTGCCTTTGATTTCAGAGGAGTCGGAATGTCACCAGCACTTATAACTGCAGAATGGAGGTTAATTTTAGCCCGTGGTAGATTAAAAGTATCCATAACTCCCTGAATCATAAAGTTCATGAAAACACAGAGCTGAAATGCTGCAGTACTTCTGTACTGGAGAAAGACCCAAACTTCCCAGCTTAAGTGATATTCCAAACCCAGAATCCGGCAGCCTTAAGAGACATTACCAAAGCCAATCTGCTCTTCCACATCCCCAACTCTGCCACGGCTATCTGCCCGAACCAGCACACTGTACTGCACCAGCAAAAGGGCTGCAGCGCGGTTACACGTGCGGCACAACACCACTCACAATGCAACGTCAATCTCTTCCAAGGCTTTGGAATTAAGGTGAGCTGAGGCTGAGCTCAAAGAGAAACCTGAGACGCAGCTGTATGCATGTGAGCCGAGGTGCAAAGAGTCACTTACTGTAACTCAGGTGTGTCACTGCAGAGACACGGCCGCAGGCTCAGCTGAGGAGCCACGCGCTTCCCGCAGTCGCCGTGCCCGAGGGACGAGCCTCGCCCTCCCGCTCGGCCCCGCGCCTCAGGCCGAGCTCCGACAGCCGCGCCGGAGCCCCGCGCGACACCTCGCGGCTCCGGGGCCCGTCCTGCGGGCGCCGCGCCGGGGTTCTGACGGAACAGCTCCCGGCCGGCGTCACGCGCCCGGCCGCCGACGGAAGGCACGAGGCAGCAGCCCCGGCGCGTCGCCGCGGGGCGAAGGGCGCAGCGCTCCGCGAGCCGCCGGGCGGGCCCGGAGCCTTTTCCCGCAGCTCCGACGGGGCGCTTCGCTCCCGTTCCCTCCGCTTCGCCGAGCTCCGCCGACGGCCGCGGGCCGCTACTCCCCCCTGCGGGCGGCCGCGCAGCGCCGCAGCCCCGACCCCGTCGCCGCCCTCGCCCCGCCGCCCCGCCGCCCCGGCTCCGTCGCGGACGCCCCCGCGGTTACCGCGCGGCCGCGGCCGTCCCGCCGGGCGAGGCGCGGGGCTCCGGCACCCGCGGGCCGCTCGGCCCGAGCCGCGCCGCCGCGCGCAGCTCCCCCTCCCCACCCCGCAGGGGGCCGAGGCTCCGGGGGCTCCGTCAGCCGCGGCCCCCTCCCCGCCCCGCCGCGCCCCGCCCCGGCCCGCCGGGGGCTCCGGCATAAATACGGCCCCGAGCGGCGCTCCCGGGGCGGCGCGGCCGGAGAGGGGTCGGCGGCGGTGGCGGCAGCGACCCGCGCCGGAGGTCTCTCGTGGCTCAGGGTGCGACGGCCCCGCTCCGTGCCCGCCTCGCGCAGCCGCCCTCGGGACCCCCCGTGCCCCCCGACCGCCGTCCCGCCCCGCTCCGCGCTCCCAGTCGCCCCCATGGACTTACTGGGCCCCATGGAGATGACGGAGGGCTCCCTCTGCTCCTTCGCGGCCGCCGACGACTTCTACGACGACCCGTGCTTCAACACGTCGGACATGCACTTCTTCGAGGACCTGGACCCCCGGCTGGTGCACGTGGGCGGGCTGCTGAAGCCCGAGGAGCACCCGCACCACCACGGGCACCACCACGGGCACCCGCACGAGGAGGAGCACGTGCGGGCGCCCAGCGGGCACCACCAGGCCGGCCGCTGCCTGCTGTGGGCGTGCAAGGCCTGCAAGAGGAAGACCACCAACGCCGACCGCCGCAAAGCCGCCACCATGAGGGAGCGGCGGCGGCTCAGCAAAGTCAACGAGGCCTTCGAGACCCTCAAGCGCTGCACCTCCACTAACCCCAACCAGCGCCTGCCCAAGGTGGAGATCCTGCGCAACGCCATCCGCTACATCGAGAGCCTGCAGGCCCTGCTGCGCGAGCAGGAGGATGCGTACTACCCGGTGCTGGAGCACTACAGCGGGGAGTCGGATGCCTCCAGCCCTCGCTCCAACTGCTCCGACGGCATGGTGAGTGCCCCGGGCAGGACATGAGGTCCTTCCTCCTTGTAGCCCAGCAGCAGGGTCCCCACGTGCCAGGTCTCTGGGAAGAGAAGGGAAATCTGTTAGATTCTTGGGAGGAAGGTTAGGCAGTGCCTGTGTGCCGGGGAGCTCTGTGGGAGGTTGCCTGGGAGCACATGGCCCCTGGGTACCTCTGATTTCACGCTTTGCTGTCTGTTCCTCGAAGGACGGCGGTGAGGCAGGTCCCCTTGGGTGTGGGAATTGCAGGGGAAAACGCGCAGGGCAACCGATCAAGTGTAGGGTTTGTTTTCTGTCATTCATCAGGATAACAAGAGGATGGCCCAAGTAACGGGAGTTGTTTTCCTTGACCCTTTTGAAGAAGGCCAGCTTTCCTTTCATTTGATCCCTCTGCAGACATTTACTGGCAGCAGAAAAAAGAGCCCAGGCTTAGAGCCGTGGGTTATGGGGAGAGGACAAGGGTGGCTGCAGGACTGCTGCCGACGACGGGACCGCAAGGGCACTTCTGGGATTTTTTTCTGTTTTTTAGTGGGGATAATAATCAGGGAGCTGAGTACTTGGGACTGTGAAGTAGTTGGCAAATGGGAGAGAGTTACAAATGTCCCGTCTTCAAAATACAGCCTTTTCATTGTAGATTCACACGTTGACCACAAATATATTGGTCAGGGTTTGGCGGTTTTTCTTTACAAAACCAGAGTAGGAAGAGAAACTGAAAGAAATCCGAAGGTAGAGTAGTGGCTTTCTCAGAGGAACTCATGTTTGGGAAAGTCGTTCAAAGTGAGATCAAAAGAATTCCTTCCTCTCTTGAGTTGCCTTTTCTAAGCTGACCATAGCCGTACATGAGACTGCTGGAAAACCTCATCTCTGGTAAAACCACAGCATCAGTCATAGCGATGGTGGTAATTTCCCTTTGGAATGGACATGACACACAAATATTCTAGTGTAAACCCATTCCTTTTTTAAAGCAAGTTAATTCTGTCTGCTTCATTCTACGACACAAACTTGACATCATTTCAGCTGAGAGCGATGGCACAGATTAGCTTACTGAAATACAAAATCAGATGGTTCCCAGGATCTGTGGAAAAGGCAGTCCCCCAGCCTCACTCAGATTATTTTCCTTTCCAGATGGAGTACAGCGGGCCGCCTTGCAGCTCTCGCAGGAGAAACAGCTACGACAGCAGCTACTACACGGAATCACCAAATGGTGAGTATCTGCAGTTGAGAATATGGCTGTATGAAGCATGGAGGATGGGGGCAGCCATTGCTGTAGCCTCCCCGTGGCCTTCTCCGTCCTCAGTCACTTAGCCAAGCTGGAGAAGGACCCCACCTCTCCAGCCAGTGAGCTGCTGATGCTGGCAGAAGCACTGGATTTCATGTAAATGTATTTGCAAGTATAGGGGATGTGTTAGAGCTGCATTTCCTGTTTTGCAAATAGAGCGTCTAGGTATACATCCCTCTCTGCAACTGATTTTTAGTCTTAACCCCATTTTGTGTGAAGCCTGTTCTAACCAGGTATCATTAATCCAAACTGGAGAAAGGCCTGACGGAATTCCAATCTTCCATTCCCTTTCTGAAGACTGAAGTGAAGCCCTGGATCCACCCTCCCTGAATAGCAGCGTGTTTTACTTGGGTCTCTCCTCTATTTCACAGATGACAATTCCTTTCCTGACAGCTGGCATCCTTCACTCATACTCATTTCCTCTGATTTTTTGCATGCTCTCAGACGCGTACTTCAGCCACTTGCTGGGTTTTTATGAAAGAACTACGTCTTACAATTTAAGTACACAGTGGATAAATGGATCACATTTGTCTTTGTTTTCAGACCCAAAGCATGGCAAGAGTTCCGTTGTTTCCAGCCTCGACTGCCTCTCAAGCATTGTGGAGAGGATTTCCACAGACAACTCCACATGTCCAATACTGCCTCCAGCTGAAGCTGTTGCTGAAGGGAGTCCCTGTTCCCCCCAGGAAGGAGCAAGCCTGAACGACAGTGGAGCCCAGATTCCTTCCCCCACCAACTGCACCCCGCTTCCCCAGGACAGCAGCAGCAGCAGCAATCCAATTTACCAAGTGCTATAAAGGCAGGTCCAGCCGGACTGCGCCGAGAACAAATTGCTCCGTTCAGCCAAGCTCCAAGACCTGCCTTCTAAAACAGAAAGGACTTCAAGACTTTTGTTTCAGTTTTAAAATATCATGCAAAATTCCTTCTGTAACTTTTCAAACCTGTACTACTACAGAATACGCTTAGTTATTTATTGGTTGCTAAACTAAAGTTATTTAATATGTCTAGAGATAAAAGCGTAGACGGGGAAATGGCCAATGTTTAATTTGGGCTTTGGAGAATAGGAACCTGGCTCTTGAATACGGAGGAAAAAAGAAATCTACAACAGCAGTGGCGTGACAGATCCTTCTTCTTATTACCCCTGTTCTGGCCAAAATAAGGTTGTGGACCATTTTTTATAAAACTTTTTGTATAATTGTAAATAAGAGTTGCTTTGCAAAAAAAAAAAAAAAAAAAAGAAAAGAAAAAAAGAAAAGGAAAAAAGGAAAAAAGAAAAGAAAAAAAGAAGAAAAAGGGAAAAAAAACCTAAACGAAAGCTAAAATTAAAAACAAAACAAACATAGGAAAAATTAAAAATATATATATTTAATGTTGCTTGGTTTGTTGTGCCAAACTTTAACTTTATATATTTATACGATGTGATTGCCAAGAATGTTTTCAACAGTATTCTAAATAAAGACCCTTATTTATAAAATCTGTGGCATTATCTTGACTTTCATTAGAGCTTCTAGAGTTACTGGTGCATTTAGGAACGGTGTTAAGATCGCTGCCTTGGCAGGAAGAAGATACAGGCTCTGATTCAGCAAAGAAATCAAGTGCTTGCTTCAGCTGCGCTACTTTCAGTTAATTTGTGCAAAGACACTGCTGAAAAGGGGTTGACTTTCTTCCTGTGGTGTCCTAGTGATTTCCAAACCAAGTCTTACACATCAGTGGTCTTCACTAAGAAGGTCTGTGAGGTATATAAGTGTATTTGCCTCACAGTTACATGATGAGAACTTACAAAGCTGTAATTGAAGTGGGAGTCCTAATAAATTAAGCTCTCCAGATTCCATTGCAGCTACTATGAATTAAAGCCTTTCGACAGTATTTTGCATTCCCAAATATTCAGATTTTCCATGTAAGATCTAATTTTAAGTGACTTTACCATATTCATATACACTCAGGCATTAGAAAACACTTAGAAGTCGTTTTCTGTCACAAAGTTCAAGGTACAGATCACAGTTTTCCTCAAGTTCAGGTTGGAATTTAAGCCCAAGATTGGCAGTTTTAATTTGGATTTGAACTTTAAGCATCTCTGGCAGCGCTGCTCCAGGGATTTGCTTCTTGTTTAGAGCCTCTCTAAAAATAACCGGTGGGGTATGTTTCATTCAGTGTATATATGTAACCTTGCAAGCTTGCCACAAAACTGAAAAACATGAAGCTCTGAGCAGATTGTCATTGATAAGCAAGTATCAGGGTGTATCTGTGCATTTGGGCAAGAACAGCCAGTTGCTGGAGCCCACAGACAACAACCTGCTCCTTGTCATATCCCTGTGACTTACGGCTCTTGCTTAAACTTCACAGAGAAAAGAACAGCCAAACAAATAAACAACAGATACCATCATCAGCTCTGAGCGTTTGATGACAGATCAGTCACTATTCTCCCTTAGGTGATTATTACTGAAGGAATTTGTGCCGCTTGTACCTCTTCAACAGGAAGAAGAAAGGAACAACTCATGGGCTCCCTCGTGCATGCGGCGGTGACCACGGTGGATGACAAATGAGGGCACAGAGGACATGGGGCTGCTGTGCAGGCACATGGTGCTTGGCTGGTCAGAGAGGCTGGGGCAGGGCTGCCCCCTCAGCACCTTAACCAACATCCAGCTTTGTGAGGGTCTCCTGTTGGCTTCGCTGTGGGCAGAAAACACAGTCCAGATTATAAATGTTCAGCTTTTCCCTTTTTTATTCCCCTTATTTACATTCATTTTTCCCCTTAAAGATAAGAATTTCAGTGTTCTAATTCATACTAGCATGAATGAGCAACTGCTAAGTTGAAAAAAGTCCCATTTTAGTCTGATTGGAGGCAGTGTCATTAACTCACAAAAACTAAAGAAACACAGTCAGATCCCCACAAGTCAAAGCTTCCCATATAGATGATAATTCCATTGCCTCCAGCAAACAATCAGGCCCATATGCAAAAGATGCTACTGAGAAGTACTACAGACCTTGCCATCCCTGTGCTCTGAGCTTGGTGAAAGTGTCATGAATTCAAAAGTACAGGCATAGTAATGGCAATCAAGAAATATGTTCCAGAATCAGGAACTAAGAAGGTCCAACTAAGAAGACCCTTAGCACAAAGCTCGCCCTTGCCTCACTCTGGGACCCCATGGGGTACAATAGGAAGCACCCTGGGTCCAGCTGGCATGGCAGAGCGAACACAGAGTGCTTGTGCTCAACAATGTACATGCAGTTCTATGTGAAGTCATGTATATTGCATTTCACTGATTTATTTTAGCAACCCAAGTTTCCACATACTGATGTTAATGTTACAACAGAGAGCAAGCATTTAGCACATCCCAAAATAGATGGGTGGATAAAGAAGAAAAAAATATTCCTAGATTTACTGTGCAGAGCCCATCTTTTTCCCACTGATGGCAGTGAGAGAAATCACTGGAGTAAGGCCAAGGGGCATCAGTGCTGATAAACATATCTTTAGATTACAGCTGTATTTATTTTTCAACTTAAGTAAAGAAAATGCGTGCATTTTTCCTGTCTGTTTCTAAGGTGATATATTTAAAATAAATGCCTGAAGTTACTCTATGCATCAAGGGGATGGCACATTGCTAATACAGCCCTGCCAACATGAAAACATTTCAAAGTTGGACATCATTTGGATTCAGAGCTTTGTTTCAGCAGTGACATGGGACACAGGCAGAGCAGAGAATGGGCACAAGGCTGACCCAATATTTGCAAATGTTGCTTCTTAAATTGGGATCCATTATCTCGATAATCATCCCAGTTGGGATCATGTAGGGATCATCCTGCAAGACAGACTGCAGTCTAGCTTGACCTACAGGAACACACAAGTGTGCACTACACACATCAATAGTCTGAAGTCATCAACTTATAGTATAATTCTGAATCAATGTGCTGCAGGATGGAAAAGACCAAAAAGAACTGAATCTGGACAATTGTACTGACATGCAGAGCTTGGGGAGAACTAAGGACTCTGCAAACCTGAGTCCTCATTTATCCAAACTGATTTGACAAGACAGGACAGGGCCAGACGGAACGTGGGTGGAAAACTTTTCAGTGAAGGTTTTAGAGCTGTCTGGCATTTCCTATGGAAGGCCACCTCCAAGGGAAAGTCAGCAAACTACTAATAATTAAAGGAAAGCAGCTGGGTTGAACGTGAAAAAATATTAAAATATTTTATCCTCTGTACCCAACACTATTAAATAAATGCTAAGTGGGCAATTGCCTTGTATCAGTGCTGCTCTTTTAGAATGACTTGTTATGTCAAATACAAGACAAAGACATGATATGCATTGCTGAATGTGGAAGGGAAAAGAGTTTTCATTTTACAGATTGCATTTTGCAGGGATACTTCAAAGGGTCAAATATTGCAAAGGGGAGAACTGCCTCATTCTACTCATCGAGTTGGTATTAACATCTCCAGAAGAACATCATCTAAAGGTGAACCTTCGGATCACGCACTTTCCTGTAAATCTCTTCTACAGCCAAGACCTTCCCTCAGTGGCCTTTGCAGAGCTGTTGTACACCTGGGAATGTTGTTGAGTAGAAACCTGTGGTTTGACAGTCAATAGTTGAGATTCAGGGCTAACGGGACAAAATGAGCCCTAGTGTCACACAGAAGAGCCTCCTTTGTCTTTTCCCACCCAGGTCTCACCAGGAGTTAGCAATGTCTGACATAAAGCTATTGAGCCAGCAGAAGGAACCTAGAGACTTCCCTATGGGCAAGACCCAGAAATATAGCTTTCACATAGGTAGATACTTCTGAGTAACATCTGTACAATGTAAGTTAATGAATGCTGATCTACCCTATAACCACAGAGTTACAAAAAACCTCAGAGTCTTCCCAATAATACAGTTGGCATGACACTAAGCTCACATTTCTTTCTAAAACATCACTAACTGATCTTCCACGTCTTAGCAACATCGGATAAGACTCAACAAATAATCCTATATTCATCAACAGGAAGGAAAATGCTGCATGTGAAGTGAAGCTTTCTATTATTTATATGAAAATGCATTAAAAAACTGACAACCAGTAGCCCACTCCATCAGAGAGAGGGAGGGAGGTTGTAATGCCAGTGGGTTTGGTGCTTTGGTTGTTTTGGTTTTTTTTTTGTTTGTATTTATTTTTTTTGCTTGGAATCAGATTGAATTATTCAGCGTTTTGGGGCTCAGCACAGTCACCTAATGTTGCAAGCACACGGTTGAGAGATGGGTCTCCCAGTCTCTATGAACCAGATCTGAGGTGCTGAATAACAACCTGGAACTGCAGAAGCCCTCTGAAGCATTCCCTAACCCATTTAAACTGACCTTGAGCCGTTTGGTTTTCTTTGTCCGACAGCAGCATCTGCTGGACAACGTTCAAATTGCAACAATTTCCGAATTTCCTTGTGGTGAGTTCAACGTTCTGTTTTCTCATCTTTTCAGTACCAGGTAATCAGTAGGTGGGGGAGACAGCAAAAACAGTCACAGCTTTCATTCAGCACCTGGAGCCCCATACAACAGGAAAAACATGTTGGAAAAGTCAAACATTTCATTACCAAAGAAGCTTCTAAGGAGAGAGAATGAAAAATTGAAGGAATAGCTAGTTCTTTTGTCTATTAATGCACAAATTTGGGAAAAGCAGCCTATTTTTGTTTGGTTTATTTATGTGAAAAAGAAGACAAAAGGAAAGAGAAAGGGTTTGGCTTCATTGTGCAGCTGAGATGTTAGAAGTGCTGGGGGAGACTGTTTACATAACAAAAGCACATGCACAAGAGCAGGAGATGGCAGAAGGATTGCAGTGCCATTCTCTGGTGGAGGAGTCCTTCAGCAGGGTGTGAATCTTCCTGGCATGCAGTCCCACCTTCACCTGAAATGCAGGTGTAGAACAGGACGTGCTGAGAAATGATCTCACACGTTTGGAAAGAATATTTCAAGCCATGCAAGGAAGCACAGAGGCAACACACCTAAAAATCATCTACCTTACACTTTGGTCATGCAACACTCCTTCACACTGAGGCTTTACTAAAACAATCATAATACTGCTTGCCACAACTGAAAGACAAATCTGAATGACTTGTGCTTTACGTGTGGCTCATCAGGATTCATATTCTGCATCAGGATTCATCCTGGGAGGACAGAATGGTCCCCGTGGTTGAGTGACAGCCGCTGAGTGCTGCACTGTGTCTGACTGACTGCCAGCCAGGCTGCTTTCGTTCAGAGAATCCATCATGTTTGGGAACAAATGCCCTCTGAAACCTGTTCGTTCAGCTTCTAACTATTTCCTCACCTGTGGTTCTATTTGAAGTCAGCAGTTTTGACTGTCACTGAGTGGCAGAGCATTATGATTCTGCCATTAATGGGAAAGAATTTATTTTCAGTTGATCATTCACAGAAGAGAGCTAGAAGGCCTATCTTGGTAAAGCAATATCCTGTTATTACAACTACCTTCACCTTGCCTTATGCCACATGTGGGTTTCCTGAGGCTGGAGCCTAGACAATCCAAGCAATACTGAGAGGTACAAGTTTTTCCTACTTGCTACAATGTGAGCAGAAATTTCATTACTGCAATCAATAAGCACTGCATTTATCGGTTGTTGTTTGATATGGTGTTTTTTTTTTTTTCTACACCACTGGAGGGCAGCATTTGTATAAAAAAGAGAGTTAGACCATTTCTCCAATGCATACGTCTATTTTTTTTCCTAATTTTTTTATATATACTTCTTCAATTCAGGTACAGAATATCATCTCATGCCAAGACAACTGAAATTAATGAGCTGAATGTCTGTCTAACTGTAACTCCGTCAGTCTTTCTTGGCAGTTGTCACAACTTTGGTACCCTTATCTGTAGGAATTCATGGCTTGCAAGATGTGAAAAATCACAGGCTTTTATGTCTATATGGTAACATATCCCCATGAGTTGCATAAAAGTGGTTGGGACAAAGACTGTAGTATAGGCAAACATTATCACAGCAGCTTGTAGATGAAGTTCTCTTCCTCAAACAGGACATTTAATGCTCTCATTACAAGTGCAATGCCATAGAAATATGAATGTACACAGAGCTGAACATGTGTCACACCAGTCATTTCCTTCATTTTGGAAAGGAATCATGGGATGTACTTAGCACAGATGTTCTACACTCTGAAGGCGGTCTTCTAGAGAACTAAACACATGAAATAGCTTGCAGATCAGAGACAGCTGTACAAAATGTAGGCCCAAACATGGCTTTAAAAAGCTGTACAAATGCCAATTACATTAAACAATGTGAAAAAAAAGCAACAAAGTAATGTGCCTAATTAACAAAGCTAGAGATGGAGTCAGCCATTTGGTTTAGGAGTACTCCCAAGAGTGAAGTTAAATCCAACAGCCAGGGCAATTCTGGAAGAAATAAATTAACATGCTGGGTTAATATTTCAAGCTCTGTGGGAGTGAGCAGTGTGTTTGGTGAGGAGAAGCAAAGGTAAAAATATCACAGGGTGCTACTTTGTTTGTTTGCCAAGGACACTTTAGCTTCTGCAATTTATTTATTCTTCATGGTGTGATAGAAAATATGCAAGACAACATAAAATTATCAGCATTACGTCACTGAATTTCCTAAATTTATCTTTTTGCCACCTGTTAAATCTTATCTCAAGGTCAAGAGAAACCACTGTTTTGAGTGAATGAATTATGGCACAAACATAATCACAAAAAATACATTAGCAGTGTTCTTTTAATTTTAGTACTATGCACAACCACAGCTTAAAGAAGCCTCTTACCGTAGGACTTCTGTGAGAAATAAGCTCTGGTGGCTTGCTTCCATCCAGGCAAAACTCACTTATAAGCATTACAGGCCTTCTGTGGGGTGCTTTGACTTCATCGTGGGCACGAAAGAGGAAGACGCTGTTCTACTGAAAGCACTGTTTGGTTCAAGTTCTGAGAAAGGTCATCAGGGCCCAGTTTTCCAACATCTCTCTTGGTATCTTCTTCTGTAAGAAAGACATCCGGATTAAAAAATTGCAAGTTCCTATTAGTTAAATGCAACCCACCTGAATTCCCCATGCAGAAGTGTAAGCAAGACTTTACAGACCCAACAGCTCAGATCTGTTTTGTCTAGAAGCATGAAGGAATTCAATGTGACAAATTTGTTCTGGAGCACTGTGGTTAGAGACGTACTTTACTTTTTCATACCAGAATTACAAAGATACCAGAGAATGTCTTATAGATGGCTTTCATTCTACAACAGCTTTTTCTGCTCCCATATCTAAGGATTGACCGACAGCTGTCTGGTTCAAAAACTTAATACCTGTCATGGTAAGCTCAGGCCTCTAACTCCTGAGTTGCTGCAAGCACTGTGGCTTGAATCCTTTCCAGTGTTCATCTGTTGGCAGCTGTTTCCATCTGTTCTTTCTGAGGCAGTTCTGCCCCATCTCCAGGGAAGAGCAGGACTGGCACGCACTGCATTACTTGTTGTGAGCCTCCTGCTCATGTTTTACCTGAATCTGTCATTTTGCCTCATCTGCTCTCTGGCACCTTTTTTGCAGCCAGAATTCAGAGTTCTGCTGCACATCAATGACGAAAGAGAAACCTGTATCTCAGATATGAATGACAAAATAATGCTCCCTCTTTTAAATGCAAGTTACTGAATAGACAGGGAAGACTGATAGGTTTGTTTAACCCTCATGCCTCCTAGGTATGTAGTGTTCCTGCATGTATATTTTGTAGCTAAAGCAAAATAACTTTGACATATCTTTGCTTTGTTGTGACTTGAGGCATATGCCTTTCAAGCAATTCTTGACCATCACCATTACAGGTGGCTCTGGTTTGTTTGTTTGTTTGTCTGTTGGTTGGTTGGATTTTGCCTCCTTTTTTTTTTTCTTCTGGTACAGCATACAATATGAAAATAAAAACGCAACAAACCCAACAAAAAAAGCAACTTCTGCTTCCCTATCTTCTATTTTAGACACCAGTGGTTACGTTTCCAGACATGCAGCTGATCTTTTGGAAATCTTGGTTGGCTGAGCAGATGTCTAGGTCCATAGGACTCATCTGTTAAGTTTTCCCATCACGACTTATGTGCTTGTTAACTTGCTATCAACTGTTTATCGGCTGGAGTGAATTAAAAGACTGTACTTTTTCTTTCTTTCTTTTTTTTTTTTTTAGCCAAGGTAATTAGCTTTATATTTTCAACATTGAAAGTTTTAATTCATATTTGATATATCATCCCTAGCCTGATTTCCAACTGGATTGAGTGCTCTTCAAACCTCTTGGACTTTTGCTGTTGTGTGGCAAAAAATGAAAGCCTTTATGTCTAAACATTTTTTTCTTTCAAACTACTATAAAATACCTTTCAAAAAATTAGACACATTCTGCAGTTCTCACTCAGACTTAGTGAGGATGGGGGGGAAATAATCGGTAGGATAAGAGATGTAACATAATGTGGAAATGAAGCTGAAAAAGAACCCATTAGCAATCCAAATGTACTCATCCAGGTTTTGTCCCAGTGAGTATTAGACACATTTTGGTACATATGGACAAATACACCTGCTAAAACTATATAAACATACACTCAGGAGAATGGACAATAAGTTCACTGAATTCCCACACCACCTTTTCTGGGATGCACTGTTCTTTTCAGGATGTATTTCTCTGCTTGCTTTATACGATGGTCAAACTGAGCTACAGAAGCACAGCACCACTGAGTACTTCTGCATGGAGATCTCTTAATCTGCTGAAGGGCTCTTAAGGGGACTAACATGATAAAGCAAATAAAAGGCTAAAACATTTTGAAATTAATTTTAGGAAGCAATATTTTTCTCCATGTTTTAAATAGGCTGGATGTCTGTAAGCTGGAGAACAATTTTAAAATAACCTGTAGAAATATGTTTCATTTTTAATTACAGGCTGAAAAATTTCACAGAAGACTGGCCCTTACAGATTTACAAACTGGGTACCCCTTTCTCTCATCCCTTCATAGGAAAGCCAGTAAGTACGCTCCTGCAGGCTCTGTTGCAGGACAGGCATCCACCCTAAAAGCACATAAAGGTCCAGTTTTGCATGAGAACGGAGCCTAAATTAGGAGGGCCACTTCTGAACTGTTGTTGGCCAACTGAGTACCTTGTGCCACCATGATATTTCTTTGCTTCCCTGTTATTCCCCAACCCTTTACTTCACGGATACCTACAGGCAGGGAGTACATCTGCAAAGCCTGGCAGAATCCACCCATGAATCACTCCATGAGTAAACAATGACTAAACAAGCGGTGTCTTAGGAACAAGCATAGCACTGTGCTTAGTAAGCCAACCATTTAAATACAAACCTGCTGAAAATCTTGTGTGCTAGCAGGAATATCAGCCACTATCTGCTGGACCAGTGCAGCTCTTCTGCACTGCAATTCCTAGGGAAGGCTTCTTCCCACGTCCAGGAAACTATGGGTAGAGCATCTTCCTGTTCCCTGGAGCGCACAGCTCCAGCACATCCTGGCACCATTAGCTCTGATCTAGCTCTCACTGGAACAACAGACTGCTGGTAGTGCTGAGCCACAGGTTCAAAAACAAACAAAAATCAGGAAATCTGCATGCCCAACAGCTGGCTGAAGATTTGTGTCAGAATGTGGATCTTGCTTTCCATTTATTCACACTTGTATTGTATAAATCCTGTTTACTTACAAAAGAAACACAGTCCATTTTACCCTTAGTGCCAATTATTGAACTACAACCAGATGCAGCATGTAAGAACTACTTCAACAGCATTAAACATCATATTTCATGGCACTGTCCACATAAATAATCACAAAGCCAGAGAAAAGCAAAGACATCTCAGAATTATTGATTTGTGTCAAAAATTGAGGAGCTGGGTTAATCAAGAGATTTAACCAATGCTTTAAACACTGGAGTCAGCACTGTTCAGATTTATTTCAACTATGCTTACCTTTCAACACCCAGCTTTATGAACCATTTATACCAATAAAGATTTACAGGCTATTTTCCTTCTCGATTGTCTGAGAACATTTCAGTTGCTGCTGCAGACTCAGTGTAAGCTTGAGAAATAATAACAGTTGTGAAAAGTGAATCATTCAACAAAAGTAAACCTCTCATTTCAATTTAAAAACAGAGAAAGAAATGTTCTAATTATTTTGATGTATTAGAGAAATAGTCAGCTGTTAGGCAAGCATGTGTTCTGTGCATAATGCAGCATGTTCTATCCTCTTCCATTGGAGACCCCAATTTTTGCATGTGTGTGGTCAAGTGAAAAGGATGTACTTGAGGCACTGAGAACCACACACTTTGCTTAAGAAAAGACCAGTGCCTCCTGTTCTGTATTCTGTAAATAGTCTGTGTGATGGGTTTGTGCCTGTTGCTATGTTCATGCACCTGCAAGTTGGCTGAGATTTTAAAAACGTCACCCAGCATTAGCAGGCTTTCATTTTCAGAAAAAAAAAAAAAAAAAAAGAAGATGATTAGGTCAATCTCAGAAAGTTAAAGACTTCAGAGGACTCCCCAGAACAGATCAACTACTAATAAAGCAAAGCCAAATCACTGGCCGCTTTTGGAACTGTAGTGGTAGCACGTGGTAGGAGCCACACAGTTCTGCTATACGTGCATGCATTTACTCTTTTGAACATGCAGATTTAGAGCCTTCAGGATTCCTGCGCTCAGCTCCTAGTAACACATATTTAGCAGCTTCTATAAGCATGTTTTCGTTATGCGCTGACACCAATCTTCCAATATTGTAAGTTGACTTTTCCTCATCACCAGCTGCTTGTTTTGCTGGATTTCTCCTAGATCAGCAACAGGAAGACAGAGACAAATCTATACCCTTCATAGAACAAAGCATCACATTAGCAAAGCTGTATGCCTTATTTCAGTTACTGAAAGCAGCTTTTTGCTGTGATTTAGCTCCATGATTTCTTGAGGATGATTTCTGTGTTAGGGAATGTTCATACAAGGTAAATCCTGACACTTTTACTACGGTCTTGAGTAAAGTATATCTTGAAAATCATTTGAGGTTAACACATGCTCCAAGAGAAGCACGGTGCCTGGCCCAATCCAGCTACATGCTGCTTTCAGGCAGGTGCTGGCTCTAAGGCAGATAATAGCCATTTGCAGTGTTCACTGCTCTTCTCTCTCCCTAAGAGAAATAGGGTCTGGACACCATCCCAGGCCTTCAAGAAGCAGCAGAACATTACTGCCACCTTGCCTTGTGTGCACAATCTCACACCTATTTACTCAGTTTCCACCTCCCAAGAACTTTCAGTGAAATCAGATCATTGCAGGTGGGAGTTCCACTGAGTTAATGGAATGAGTAAAGACCTGTGATGATCTCTAACATGACATGATATTACTTTCTTTTTTTTTTTTTTTTCCCCCAGAACAACTTTCATTTGTCTCACAGTTTGATATGCGCCTGTTCAATACTGATATTTCTCTTTGTTAAGGATCCTAAAGGGATTCTTAAAGCAACCTTCACTCACAATCAAATGCAGCCCAGTACAAACGGATGGAGAACAAAACGCAGTCAGCAGGTGCAGCACAGCAAATATTTCTCAGCTCATAGCAAAGCCAAGCAATATTTGAAGAACATGGATAAAAATGAAGTACATATTTAAGCAAAATTTAGGCAACTAGATGAAAATAACCTCCAAAGCACTGGAACAAGCTGCCCAGAGAGGTTGTTGTGGAGATTCTGTCTCTGGAGATACTCAAAATTCCCTATGCAACCTCCTGTAGGGAACCATTAGCAGAGGGGTTTGGACTAAATGATCTCCTGAGGTTCCTTCCAACCCCTATAATTCTGTGCTTCTGTGAAGAAAGGGGAAAAAAAAATGCCCAAACCTAGCCAGGTAAGTGTGCAGGAGCTAGCATTCAATCTGTCTAGCTTCTATTTCTGTGACTATCTTACTAAAAGCGGGATGAGTTCTTTTGAATCAGGCTTTCTGACTGTGATGTGAGCCCTTCAGGCATGCGGCACCTCTGTGTCTCCCTCAGTCGACATCAAGCAACAACAAATTATTTTCTCCCTCATTCTCATTTTTTCCATGGAAGGCTTTCATCCAACTATTGACAGTCCGAAGGGGTAAATCTCACCTTGCAGAACAGTAATATCATCTTTGCAAGTGCAGCTTTGTTTGTTTTTAAATCAGTTTCAAGGACAGAGTGAGTACACTGCATTTTGAAGTGCATCGCAGCTTTCCATTTGATTCCAAATGATTTACAAAGATCAATATTAACAGACAGCAATTCACAGTGTGATGTAATCTAGAACTGATAAAGAACTGCACTGGAATACTGTTGAATTGTCATGAATTTAATACAAGACAGCACAGACTGAGTTATAGCATTCGACAATTGCAAAATCGGTGCTCCAACCCTGGCTGCTTTTTGTTTTGAGATTATAATTCTCAGAAATAAATCTCTCCCTCTCAGCTTCCCCCGGCTTTAAAACATTTTAAATGTGCTCTCCAGTTGTATTCATAGTTGTACATAAAGTCCTAGGTTTTATAAATGTCTCTTTTCTCTCCTTATATTGTCGCTTTTCTTAGAATTGGTCAACAAGTTTTTATAAGAAGCTGTGTCTTTGAGTACAAACTGATGGATGAACTCAGAATGGCAGGCTTAAATTTAAGGAGTGTTTCATTAGCTACCACCACTGTTGGTATATCCTTGTTAAGTACCTCGGATACTCTCAGGTATGCAAAATGAGACACTGTTATACTAGGAAAGTACCAAAGCATAAAGCAAACCTTCCCTGTGTGTTTCTCGTGCTTATACAGCACTCTTAAATTTTGATCTATCAATCCATCTTTCATAATGAAAAGAAAACAAAGCTATAATTTTGCTCAAAGGTGAATACTTACTAAATACAGAAATATTAGGGAATATATGCTCAGTCATCCCCCCCATCCATTGAAAAGAAAACTCCTTAAACTCCTTTGGAGATATGATTAGAAATCACTGAAATTCTCAGCTGAATTATTAGGTAGAAACTTCTTTCTGGAAGACAACCTACCTTTCGTTGTATCCTGTTACCCTGGGGATGCTGAAGCATAGGTCAGCAAAGGTGATGCCAGGACTCCAGACACAGAGGTGAAAGAAAGACTTCCTCTGCCTGTGTCATCACAACACAGGGGGCAGTAGGGTGACCTAACACAAAGGATAAAATTAGTAAGGGGACAGATGATCTTTTGCATAGGAGTTTGAAAAATAAAACAGATCTATAGCTCAAAGCTGTATTTCCACTGTCACCACTAAAAGCGTTGATTCAGATGAACAGCTAAGGTTGTAAGCACTCCCAGTGACTTTAATGAGGCTGCTCAAAGCACATATATTCTCTCCTGAACAGCAGCTGTGCAGCTGCAGCCTCTCACATTGAAAAGTCTTCCTGAACTCTGCAGTCTTTCTCCTACTCACACCAGGCTTTGGTTAGCCACAGCTCAAGACAGATGACCATCAAAATCTGTCACCAGCATCAGCTAGGGAAATAAAACACAATTCTGAGGCCAACATCATTTGGGAATTTATGATAACATTACCTCCTCCTGCTGCTGCTTTACCAGAATCCTTTTCCAGACTGTGATCTCCTTGCTCAATCTACCAAATCCGTGCCTCCCACACAGGTCTCCCAGCGCTCTTAAAACTGTTTTCATTCCTTTTTAGCAAGTAAATCTCAGTAAGCGTAACTGCTAATTTAACTTAAATATGACAAGAACTAGCAGAGAAAAACAAGGTGATTCCTGGACATGCACATCCACCTTCCTATAAAGTCCTCCCTGCACAACTTCTTTTTCCTGGGTAGAGAAGACACCCAGCAGGGATGCACAGAGAGGACTTTTTTCAGGTGGTTGACATGGAACCCGAACTTTTACTCTTTCATTCATTCTTTAACTGAAGGCAGTGGAGATATATGGATGATGCTGCTTCCACAAGCGAGTGCATCATCTGTAACACAAGTCTGAAAGCACAGAAGAGGAGCCACTGCTATTGAAACTGAAAAGGCTGAATGCCTGACTGTGACAAATATATACATATGTTCATCTCGTGTACACACTGGATTACAGGACCTCATTACAGCCCTGAAAAACACTGCAGAGTTAGGGGAGATCCTTCAGCATCCCAGCAGGTGGAGGTTGGTAGAGTGAGACAGAGCAAGGAATGGTTGCAGCACCATTATGGTTCAGTGGGGTGAGAGGGGCAGGAGTGCCACAATGCAGTTTGGTATTAAACGAGCCTCTGTAGAAAATGTTTTGTCCCAAAATTTGACAATCTTTGAAAATGATTTGGTTTCTTTTATCTGTTGTAGTCCAAACCTTTCCATCCATGGAAAAATATTTTGTTAAACAAAACCAGAATTTTATATTGCTACCAGGAAGGCTCCAACCAGCAAAGTTTTTTTGTCAATATGCTGTTACTGTCTGCTATGTTCCTTGTTTAATAAAGATCTTATTTTCTGACTGCAATATAAGCTTTGGAAACGATGCTATCTTTCATTTTCCTCATGAAAATAATGTATAAACACAAACTTATTTTTCCAATGTATATTTTTAAGACAGTTTCCTGTTTCTGCAGCTGTCTTGCTCCAATCCTTCTGCTTCCCCTCCCCCACAGATCTCTGATTTGGAGCCTTCTCATTCTCTTTTTGAAATACCCAGCTCATCTGCAGCTGCCAACTCTCCTTCATCAATTGCAGCCTTTGTATCTTCAAAGAAACCTTGCAGGTCACTTAAGCATGGCCTCCCCACCTGAGCTCATGAAAACCGCCTTTGAGCAAACTTCCAATTTCTTAACGCACGCTTTCAGGTTCTTCTGAGGTCCTGCAGCACGCTCCTGCCAATGCCAAGGCCAGAGAGGAAGATGGAGTGCCAGAAGCCACAAGGGGCTCCTTTCATCCTCACTGCCACCTGAGAGCTCAACACTGATGTTCCTACAGAGGAAATGCTGATATAGTGAATGGAAGGCAAGACTAACGGGCTGGGAGAGGACCTCAGATCTCTTCTGGATTAACCCCCATGGCCCTCAGGACCTGCCCTGCACTGCTTCCCCTTGGCCCCTGCATCCATCACCATCAGAAACAATAGGTGAGCGGGACTACAAAACAATTACCGTCATTTTATCAACAAACTATAATCTTCATTTTCCTTTCCCTTTCCAAATTTCAGGCTCGAGCTCACCGTTCTCCTCTCATTCTCTGCTTTCCTGCTGCCAACTCTCAAAGACTTCAGATGGCCTTTCTGTGCTGGGGCTTCTCAGACCCCTCCCTGTACCTCGGCCTTTCATGTTCAACACCGGCACTCAGCTGCCGCCTGGCTGCTCTTCTTGGAGGCTCTTGGAGCTCAGCAGCTGCGGGTGGCTGCAGTACAGCATTGCCTTGGTTCAGCCTCACATTCCTTAACTTCACCACGCTTCAGATTTCCGTGCTCTCTTTTCCCACAGTTCAGGCAGACAAAAAACATCCAGCTCTCGGCCTTCCTTCTGTCCCGCCAGCCTCATAAGCAACCTGTTGCCATTCACGCAGGCGAAGCAGGCATTCAGGCCTCTCTGGCGCATCCTACCACAGCTCCTGCAGCGCTTCCCTCCTCACCCCAGCTGTTGCCATGCCCGTCTCCCTCCCCTGCACCCCACACGGGACACGTACACCGGGGCAGACGGGGCGTTTTGCCGCTTTGCCCGAAGGCGAGCGGCGGGGATTCACCCCAGCGCTGCCGGAGCCGCCACTCGGGCGGGCTCTGGGACGGGGGCACGGGGCACCGCTCCCGCTGGCGGGCAACTCCGGACTGTCGCCGCGAGGGGGGGGCGGGCGCGGCGCCCTCGGGGCGCGGCCGGCATTAGGACCCGGCGCGCGGCGGCGGGCGGGAGCGGCGCGCCTGCGCGAGCGGGCGGGCGGGCTGCACCGAGCCGCCGGAGAGCGGCGGCGGCAGCGGGAGGAGCGGCGGCGGCGTCGCGGGTCCCCGCCGCCCGCACCGGCCCCGAGCCCGGCCAGGCAGCGCGCTCGGCGCGGCGAGGAGCGCAGGAGGAGGCAGCGGCGGCGCGGCGCTGTCCGTTCAGCACCAGCGAGGCCCCGCCGCCCCCGCCAGGCGGGGCGGGCGCAGCCCCGCCGCCCCCGGCTGCCGCCGGCTCGGACCCCGCATCCCCACGGCCGAGCGCCGGAGGGCACCGCCGCTGCCGCGATTTTTTCTTTTTTCCTTAGTATTTCTTTTTTTCCCCTCCCTCCCAGCTGGGTGTCTTGGCCACATCCAACCGGCAGGGACCTCCCCCTCCGCCCCGTCCCCGCTCCCCAGCCTCCGCAGCTCCCCGCGGCATGTCCCCGCCGCCCCTTCCCGCCCCACCGCCGCGGCCGCAGCCTCCGCGGCCCCCGCGCCCCTGACTGAGCCGACGGCGGCGCGGCCCCGGCAGCCCCCAGAACCGCGGCCGCGGGCGCCGAGCGGGAGCGGGGCCCTGACCCGGAGAGGGGCTCGGCTTCGCAGCGCCTGCCGCCGAGCAGCCGTCCCCTCGCGGGCTCGCCGCCCTCCGTGCTCGCTTGGATGAGGCTGCGACATGCCTGATAAGAGACGAGATGGGCCAGGGCGACGAGAGCGACCGCATTGTGATCAACGTGGGAGGGACTAGGCACCAGACTTACCGCAGCACCCTGCGCACCCTGCCCGGCACGCGGCTGGCCTGGATCGCCGAGCCCGATGCCCACAGCCACTTCGACTATGACCCCCGCACGGATGAGTTTTTCTTTGACCGGCACCCGGGCGTCTTCGCCCACATCCTGAATTACTACCGTACCGGCAAGCTGCACTGCCCCGCCGACGTGTGCGGGCCCCTGTACGAGGAGGAGCTGGCCTTCTGGGGCATCGATGAGACCGACGTGGAGCCCTGCTGCTGGATGACCTACCGGCAGCACCGCGACGCCGAAGAGGCTCTGGACAGCTTTGGTGGGGCGCCCCTGGATAGCAGCGCCGAGGACGGAGACATAGATGGCACCGGAGACTCTGGCGATGGCGAAGAGGAGCTGGAGATGACAAAACGCCTCGCGCTCAGTGACTCCCCGGATGGCAGGTCTGGGGGCTTCTGGAGACGGTGGCAGCCCCGCATCTGGGCGCTCTTTGAGGACCCCTACTCCTCCAGATATGCAAGGGTAAGCTACGCAACCAGTGCCCTCACAAAACGCTTCCCCCCTCGGTCCCACCTCCGCCCGGCGGCACCGGGCTTAGTGCCACAGGCAGGGTAGAGCAGGCATCCCAACAAGTGTGCGCAGACCTGGGGATGCAGGCCACGCTCTCAAGAAAGTCCCATGTGTGGGGCCCGAGTGGACGCCGTGGCATGAGCTCATGTACTCACGTGTGAGCTTCTGAGACCCTTGTTCTCCAGTGGGCTCCTAGTAACACACAGCCTGCGGCAGGTCCCGTTCATAGGCCAGGCACTCCTGTGGGAGAAGGGAGATCTCCGTTAAACCAGGTATTTCCCTCTGTACACAGGCTTCCACAGTCAGCTATGCCCCAGCAGAGAGGCAGCTACTCCAGCCCTCTTTGGAGCTAACTGCTCTCCTTGTACAAGATGGAAAAGGGATCATGGAAACAGGGAGCTTAGAGAGCTGCTTAGCTTGGACAGGAGAGGCTGTCTGTTCCCTTCTCTTTTCTCATACGTATCATGTTAAATATTTATGATCCTGCTTCTCCGAGAATGGATAATTCAGTTGCTCACTTACCTCCCCACTCTGTCTTTTCCCTTGAGAGAAATGCAAAGTATTAATCAGAGGAGAGGGTTCATTCATGGTGAAGGGACAATATCTGAGAGGCTTCTCACCTGGCTACCAAAGGACAACCTCTCCCTCTCGGTGCCAGCAGTTTTGGAAAGGGATTGCACACTGGTGTGGTTCACTGCATAGATGGCAATAAAGATGGCCCTAAATAGGCACACAACTCCTCTAAGGAGTGCCTTGGTGCTTTTACATATGAGGATGGTGACATTGACTAGGGCCTGATTCTGCATGTGTAGTCAAAGGTAAAGAAAAGATTAAGTTCAGAGAGCGAGAGCAGGATTAACCCCCAAGGCATCTGTCTTGGTAAGCAGGAGGGATAGGTGGAGGACGGTGCGTTCAGAAAGGCATCAGCTTGGACAGGTGTCACTTCTCTCCTAAACGTACCTTTATGGAGGTATAAAATTGCTGCTGGCCCTCCATGGTGATGGTTGGTGCTTCAGTGTGGGAGGATAAACATTGTTCCTGAGGAGGATCAAAGGAGTCAGCAGATTAAGGAGCAAACAGGATGGATGGGGGAAAGAAGTGGAAACACAGGGCACAGAGATAGGGAAGCTGGCTGGGCATGAATGGGGGGGGCACAGCAGCTGCTGGAGGCTGCTGGGCTGAGCAGAGATCTCCGTCAGGGAGCCGCCAGGTCTGCAGCCTGAATGAATGGGGAAAGCTGGAGCAGAGCCTGCACTTACATCTTGGTGCATTTCTAAACGTTCTTGTTTGCATACCCTTTGGAGGTTTCCTCCTTGAACAAAGAAGTAAATATTTTAAATGAATTCTTTTAAACAGCATGGAGGGTAAAGGAATAATAAAATATTTACCACAACATGAAAGGATGATGCTGTTGAACTGCAGCTTTCAAATCCCCGATTTCTGCCAAGGGAACATGGAAACAGAGAGGGAAGGCTGGAGGGCATCCTTCAAATGGCTTCATTAGCTTCCTTTAATCAAGCCCAACATTAGCAGGCGTTAATTTGAAGAGCAGATCTCTGGTGGCCAGGAATCTGTCGGTAAATAGATCTCAGGTCAAAGCAGCGTTCTTGTCCAAGATGTTGTGGAATGGTCCAAAGGCTAAATGGATAAAGCTGCTCCAATGAAAAGGCTACAGAGACTGAAACATCCTTTTCCTTGGAAGCATTCCAGTATCTTAGTTTGGAGGGCAAAATATATAACTGATAATGAGTCTTTCTTTGTGATTTACAGGCTGGAATCCTAGGAGGATATAAATTCCATTTCCTAATTCTCTATGGGGATGGGGTATTTCCATTTAGAAACAGGCATTTTATAGAGAGATTTTTTTTTTTCAGTGGTTGCCATATCATTTATTCACAGTTATATATGCACACCCGGTAGAATTCAAGCCCTGATTTACCTTTAACTCGTTCCTTCCCTAAAGGATTGTTAACTATAGAAAATACAGATTCTGAACTTAATGTATATACTGAATATTTCATAAGTTAAATATCATTCCTTAACTTGTATCTATGGAGACACAGGCTATACGCATTAATATTTCGTATGAAGGAAGATGGCTTTCATCATCAACACATGCACACACTGTCCATTAAGGAGACATTAAAAGACACTTAACATTTGCTAATAAAAGCCATACGTTATGGTTATGGATGTAAAAAGAGATGGGAGTCTGATTTATACTCCTGTAACCTAATGACAGACACTGCAAAAAGATCTCAAGCTCACAATAGCTAATTTACAGTAAAATAATTGATAGCATCATTAACAAGTGAATGGTATATTAAAGCAATCCTTGGTATAGCCAGGCAACAAACGGTGCTGCCTCCCTTATAATTGTGTACACTACTTTCATTTGCTAACTGTATCCTAGCCTTGCAAAAATTTAGATTCACACTGCCATTTTGTCAATAGTTTACATCACAAAATCTGTCATCCTAACTCGACTTAGACCTGTAATAGTGATGATTACTATAAACGTACATATTGGACACCAAACGGTACGTCACAGTAACATCTTAATATAAGCACTGATTTACGTAATCCTTATACTATTACACTTGGGCAAGTACTAGTACTAGGAATGTGGTACATGAATGTTAAGTGAAAACCTGCAGAAAACAAGATTTCTCTGGACTATATGTGGCACATGAATGCAATGAACATTCAGGAACTGTCTGTGGAAGGCTCAGCATTTACTCAAACCTAGCCATTCCTGGAGCCCCGTGATGAACACTGCTTACAAATACAAGAACCTACGACTACCTTGCCTCACCAGCATCCATCTCATACTAAATATCTGATCTCATTGTAGATCTTGATGTAGGTGGCCAGGGGAGAAGGGAAGAGCACTTGTGTGTTGCAGGCAAAATCAGCTAACTGCACATTTTGTCTGTTCGCAAACTTTAGCAAAGCATAAGATCCCAGTTACTAGCAGTTTGTACTGCCTGGGTTTATTTACATCCATGTTTTCTAAATACTAATTTCTTAAATAATGTAGTTCTTTCTAAAAAGATCAAACGTAATAAAACTGCTGCATGGGCTTCTAAATCTTACGAGAAGGTGGCTTGTTTCACATCACACCTTGCCTTAGACACCCATCTTAACAAAGTAAAGCATAATGCGCTTCTCCATAACAAAAAGGCTCCATGTTTTAGGTAACACAGGCCAAGGCAGGTACCTGGAGGTCAGAACAGAACAGCAGATAAGGTGGTGGAAAAGATCAGCTTTACAAAGATACCAGGTACACATGCAGACAGGTGAGCATCCAGGTAGATTTTCAAAAGCATCTCCTCAGGCAGCCAAGTACCACCTCACATTCCAGGCACCCAAACTGGTGAGCCATTTCTTCAAAGCTTAATAGAAATCCTTTCACATCTTCAGGCAACTTTGTAAATTTATTTTCTGCAAGTAGATGCAAAGGGAAAACCCTGCTCGGAGCTGCACAGAAAGCTGCACAGACACTGGAGCAGAGTACTGAGAGTTATGTTGTAATAGTTCCTGCCTCCTGTACTTGTTAGACATTGCAGGCCGTTCTGCACACACACAGTGCATGGAAAATATTTTCCTAGCACTCCGTCTCCTTCATTGTTACATCTGGGCACGCTGTTCGTACACAAGCAAAGTTCCCACTGACTTCACAGGGAGTCTGGCCAGCATGTATCTAACATCTCTGCCCCCTTCCTCCTCCTCCCCAGCAAGATAAGATGGTGCTGGTGTTCAAGCACAGCTGCTAGGTTAGTCAGTGGTTGGGAATCTGGAGCTCTCAGCTGAGATTCCATGTCAGTGCTCACAGTCAGATTGGACAGTTAAGCTTCATTAATGGACCCTAAGGAAAGCTTTGTAGTCCTTCCAAATAAACACTTTAACTGTTCTTAAATAAAAGCTGGTTGGGTCCTATGGAAAGTCCTCAAGAGCTTGACTTGCCATTCTGGCATATGCTATATGGCTCTCATCTGGAAGAAGAGAGGCTTATGGCAAACATCACTCACTCTTCCCTCTCTCCCTTTGCAAACCTGCTTTCTTCAGTGGGGGATTTTTGAAAGACAGAAGGAAGGAGGCAGCAAAAGGATAGCAGGGAAGAGATGAGAAAAAGGTGGTCCCCAGGGACTTCTTCCAGCTTTCTTCTGAACGTTCTAGAGTGCTTCTACCTTGTTGTGATCATTTCTCTGTACACAATACATCCTGTAGGTATGAGAAGGCCTATGGGTGCCGGCTCCTGACAACTGTACTTTCTTGGTGCTGAGAGGCTATGGGGATATTCTGCTCATCCCTTAACCTGGCCAAGCTCAGGAGAGCATCACTGCACAAGGAGAGCTTCTCCTGCTTCCGTCCCACAGGGATGCACTTGGCCTAGGGATATTCCAGGGACAGGTGCCTCAGGTGGTCCCACTACATGTGAGCAGGTAGGGAGGAAGAGGAGATCCACCCCCACACCTCCCCTCCCCACAGGCACCGCTCTCCTGGGGGGGTTTCTTCCAAGGGGCCTTAGTGAAGCTGCTGTCCCTCCCTGGGCCCTTCTGCAAAGCTCCCCTGCAGAGGCATGTCTAATCCTGCACTGAGGCGATTCTCACTGCACACTGACAATTAACCAGACAGCCTAATTTTAACTGCACGCTGCATTACAGCTCTGCAAAAATGAGAATCCTGCATAAAATGAAGTTTCCCCTGTGCTTGTAGCATAATGGAATTACAGATAGACATCTATTAACCACCATTCTGTCATTCATTATTAACACAGCTCCTAAAATCCCATCTTGTTCCTATTTTCTCCCATCGAGGGGAAAGCTACTACAAATCCTTACATAACCCACGAGGAAGCTGGGTATTGGCTCCTCTGCATGCTGGCCAAAGCAGCCTCTGCCATCCCAGCTGGAAAGCGTTGGCCAACTCCCAGGCTCTGTCCCTGCTGA